CCGTTCGCCGGCGAGCATGCGCGCCCGAGCCGCCGAGCCGCCGCCGCCGGTGGTGACGTCATCGCTGACGTCATCATCCCCGTCCGTTGTGAGCCGGTCGTGGACCGATCGATCTCGGCCGTCCGTTTTGGATCAAGTCGATCTCGGCCGTCCGTTCGCGTGAACCGTCGCCCGTGCGCCCGGTCCACCGCAAACCCTAGCCCGCTGACGCAATAAATCCCTTTTTCCTTTTCAAAAATAATTCATTATTGCGTCATAATTCAATTAAAATCAATTTAAGTGTTTTAATCCGATTAAATCTTCAAAAATTCATAACTAATTCATCTTAGCTCCGATTTAGTTGGTTCAAGTCTCTAAATTTTTCTAAAATTGAGATCTACATATTAAAAATATCCACATGTACTGTTCATGCTTGTTTATGTGCTGTTTTGGTGTTTTTGCTCTTTTCTGCTTAGATTCCGTCGTTTCCGGAGAGTCCGTTTTCGCCGAAGAAGAGTTTGAAGAGTTCCAAGGCCGGCAAGGCAAGTCACACAGATCCCAAACAACCCTTTGAGCATGTTGATCCTATTTAAAGCTATTGTTTCTATTCAACTATTGCATTTATTTTCGAATGTCATTGGGTGGAATTAACCTATTGTTTGTTATAGCCCTTTTTGATCTTGATTACTTTATTCCTTGATACCTTGGGTTATTATAACTTGACTAGTTGGGATATATATATTGGTTCAGCTAGATATTAGATATAATTGCTTAGCCCTGCTTAGAAACATTAGCACATTATTGGGATAACTTATGACTCACTATTATTTAATGATGGCTTAATGATAGTTCACGATGGTCAATCGTGATTTGTTAATTAATTATTTGCCAACTAAAACTTGATAATGGTGGGTTGTGAGCACATGGTTTTGATGGTCGTGCTCATGACAATTAAGGACCGGTTCACGAGTTTCGGTTGTGAAACATTAACCGTGCCAACCACAAGCCAGCGTGGGCAACGGCTTTATCTTTTGTATAGCATGGTTCATTGCGGGGCACCAGACTGAGAAGTGGCGGAGATAAGCCCACGGGGGTCGCTGGGGAGTCCATGCCTTGTTTATAAGGGGGTGATTATGATCCAGGAAAGGTGCGCTGCGGTGGATTGTGTTATGCAAGGGGTATTGTCACAACTCCTTTCCGAGATACCGTGGTGATATTGAGGCACATGGTGACATGATGTGGGGTTGTGTCTTGTGGGTACAGTGGTACACCTCTGATCAGAGTAAAACTATTCGAATAGCCGTGCCCGCGGTTATGGGCGGGTCTAACAATGTCTTTCGTGATTAGTCTCACCCTTCTCACCATAATAAAAGGTGCTTTAATTGGTAATAATTTGATTAGCTCCTGGTTTGGAATGGTATATTCCTGGTTTGGAGATAGAACTGTGCAGCCGGGATGGTTGTTCAGAATGGTTGGGCCTATACAACAGGGTATGTTGTATAGCGTTGGATTAATATTGTTTAATTATCACTTAACTGTTTTATAATTCTCAAATGTTTGCTAAATGCTGCTTTTGCAAATGAAACCCTACTATGCCATCCTTTGGTATCCTTGTGCACTTGCATATTTGCTGCGTGACTTGCTGAGTATGTCATATACTCACCTTGCAATCATTCATCAGAGGAAGAGATCTACAATGAGGCTGATGGTGTGGAGGATTAGGTGTAGCCTTGGTCAAGCTGCCTGTGGAGTGGAGCCGTCTGCGCCGTTTATTTTATTTTCCGCTGCTTAGATCTTTATTGATTGAGAGGAACTATCTACCTCTGTAATGACATTTTATTCGCTTATTAATTAGAGTAATAATTGTACTCTATTATCAATTTGTTATTGTGTGCCTCGGCTGATTCCTGGACGAGGGTTCACACACATGTAAGCGTTTGGAATTTTGGATAGAAATTCCGGGCGTGACAGAAGCACAGCAGAAACATTCTCATTATAATGGTGTGACATCCTGACCCAATTGGGATTTGGCTTGTGTGGCCCATGTGAGCTGTGTGCGTATGTTTAGTACCACCTTGCTAGTTTAGCACGAGTGGAACCAACTTATAAGGCCTCTACCCTCTAACCATGCCACTCCTGGGTTAACCCTTTTACACGAAGCGATGACGAAAGTGTAAGTACGGTGGTGTGTGCAAGTTGGCCCGCCCGTCAGTTGGGCTGGCTACACAGTTCTAGAGGGAGGGCTGTTACAAATGGTATCAGAGCCGACCCTCGCGGTTGCGCATACGGGTCAGTGTGGGGGCATATGGCGCATGGCGCATGTGGGCTCTGTGTGAGGCACATGGCATGGCATAAGAGCCGACCCTCGCGGTTGCACGTACGGGTCAGTGTGCTGGCATATGGCGCATGGCGCATGTGGGTTTTGTGTGAGGCAGCATTGGACGTACGGACGTGCGCTAAGAGGGGGCGTGTTCCTAGACGTTTTCCTGTGTGGCTGAGTAAGTTGGACTGACGGGGACGTCGGGTCCTTGAGGGGGGGTGTATGTGACATCCTGGCCCAATTGGGATTTGGCCTGTGTGCGCATGTTTAGTACCACCTTGCTAGTTTAACATGAGTGGAACCAACTTATAAGGTCTCTACCCTCCAACCATTCCACTCACGGGTTAACCCTATTACACGAAGCGAGGACGAAAGTGTAAGTAGGGTGGTGTGTGTAAGTGGGCCCGCCCGTCGGTTGGGCTGGCTACGCGGTTCTGGATGGAGGGCTGTTACAAATGGATTTTGAAAGGATAATCTTGTCTTTGGTATATTTGCAGTAGAATATATAAGAGTTAATCCCTTGTGTACCCATGAAAACTTGCCCAATTTCTTCTATACCTCCCAATTTTACTCGATCCCCTCTGTACCCCTGTTTTTTCGCTTTGATCCCTTCCATGCCCCTCCCGTTAGGTTTTCTTCATTTTGCAGTTATGTGCCCTTGTAGATGGAGGAGCAACAACAGGTAGATTGGTAAAGAATTGGAAAATATTGACCGCATAGTATGTGTATTTTATGAGACTAATAATGAGTTAAAAAATTTTATTGTGGTATTGGAAAAAAAATGCAATACATCGAACGATTTGTTTGAAAAAATAATAGGGTTGGAAAATCAAAGTGTCATCAGTTTGCTCTGTATAAAAAAAATTGGTACACTCAACGGGAAGTGGAACTTGTGGATAAAGGAGAAAATCCATTGCGAAACATTTCGAGCATCCATTCAAAAATATTAGGACCATTAATAGTAGGAAGGAAATGAAAAGAGTATCTATATAGAAATTTGTGAAACAAAATATAATCTGGATCAATAAGAGCATCAAGAGCATCATGGATCATCAATCAAAATAGTAGCAACCATACAAAGCACTTCATATCAATTTTATTTTCATCATCCATACAGAGCACTTCATATCAATTTCATTTTCATCATCCATACAAAACAGTTCATATCATGCACATACCACAATTTCATTTCCATACCCAATAGTGCAGGAACCAAACCAACTTTCCACTACATACACAAATATTGCAAATGACATATCAAATTAACTGGGCAGTACATCATGAGCATAATGACATAAGGTCCATAACAGTACATCATTGGACCATGAGGAAGCAATCCTTACAATAGCAAAATATGTCAATTTAGCTATAACTACAACACTTTGTAGGCATCACAACAGCAAACAACAACAAAATCTATTAGGCTCCACATGATAAATTGCCAGTACCAAATAAAACCTAATCAATTAGCCATATATATAATTTAGTACATAAGCTTTCTTTTGCTCCTAGTGCCCATTGCAGGGCTCTTAATTTTGCTCCTTGTGCCCATAGCTAGGCTGTTAAGAGCAGCAGAACATGGTGGGTTTCCGTTTGTCTTGCTCTTGGCCTTTTTGAGTGCAACTGGATGTGTTTGCTCTCCAAGACATGGGAGGGCTACAATCATGTTGGATGGCTCAGGTTGGTTTGATCCAGTAAGCGATCTTGATCTAGAAAAGAGACTTGTGAATATATCGCATAGAGCAGCATAATACCAATAAATTGATATAATTGATCTAATTACTTACCTAACTGATCTACTTGAACTTGAGCTATTGTTCCTTGTCTTACTATCCTCAATGAAATGAATGTTTGGACTGTGAAAAATGAATTGTTATGTACCTAACTGATCTATATCCATTATACAATGAAATAAAGAACATTGGCTAACCTAGGAGGATATGTCATTATTGGTGCAACTATTTCTTACCTATTCTTTGCCTCTTATCCCATTTCACCAACAACCACCATCGAATCCTCTCCAAGAAGTCATATAAATGTAGTGCTTTCCAATTTTTCACCAAATTTGTAATGGACCCAAAAATTGTAAAACCTGGAATACATATTATAATCAGTGAAATGGGGTCCCCTCTGTCTTTTGAGATTATTTTGCTCGATTTTGAATTTTTCATGCATCCGTCATTTCATTCATATGCATTAAAACTAGCTTGGAATAATTTTAATAATTAATTTGTGTGTGCAAAATCCTGGAAAAATTCAAAAAATTCGTATACATTATGAAACACACTCAGTTAAATTGGCACTATTTTATCAGCTCATTTGGTACCTCAAATTATTTAGTCAAACCAGTCAAAAACTGGAATTAAAACATATCACTTAGTCCTCTTTCAAAATCTACCACAGTAAAACCATAACTCCTCTGCCCTTGCTTTTCTACCATCATGACCTCCTCTACTCACAGTATTTTTGCCCAAAATTTCACCTTAGAGTAAGCCACTCGAAATGGCTGGTCAAAGAGACAATGTGAGCATGTGATTTAAATTTGAGAAAATTCAACTTGACCTTCACTCACCCTACCCTATTTCAATTCCACTGGGTCCAGCCTTCCTTGGCCCCGCTAACCAGCCAGTAGGAAAGCCCAGGTCACCACCCAGCCTTCCCACCTTCTCTTCCTCTCTCCCTCTCCTTGTAGGCATGTCATCGAACACGTGGCATGCGTCTTCTTTTGGAGAAGAAAACTACACCACTCAGCTTTCCACCACGCCAAGCCGAGCCTTCTCCGCGAAGCCTAGCCGTTAGACGTCGCTGCAGGTGGGCCTAGACACCGTGTCTCCGTACCCATCGTCCACCTCACACCATTCTCCCCAATCGTCGCGTGAGTATGCCTCCATTGAGAAAGAACGAAGTCGTTCCGGCCAAACCTCCGCGCCCCGACCAAATCTCTTCCTCCATTACTCTTTCTGGACAGGAAGCAAAGCTCCTGACACGCCCAGCCGTCCCGTTCCATCGCCGCGCTGCTCGAGAAAGGAGAGACAGTGACATGGCCATAGACCGAGCTCACGAGCACCGCGTCCAAACTCCACCTTTAAGCCTACCCTTGCGCCAACACTCTCTCCTAGCTCGCCTCTTCACGTTCCATGCAAACACAGGGAAGGGAGTCCCTTGGGATAGCCGGAACGCAAGCGCCCGCGTCGGCGCCGGCGAGCCCACGACGCTACCGACTTCCCTCTGGTGAGCCTCAAGAGAAACCGTTCGCTTCATCTTTCTTAGCATCCCTCACTGAATCCATTTTACCCTTGTCCTCAGACGAAACACCGACGGGCAACGCCGCCTCTTCGACGTCCTTCGCGTCGGCCAGAACACCGCCGCCGCTGTCCTCACCATCGATCCGCTGCCTTGGTGAGCTATAGCTCTATCCCTCGTGCCAGCGAACTCCTAGGACCACCATAAGACTTTCCCCCTCAACTTTCCACAGGTTCCATCGTTGGAGAAGCCCCGCCGCTGACGCCACTCGCCGTCGGAGCAGAACACCGTCCCCGGAGCTCCCCTCACCGCTTCCACCCAAACCGTGCCCGGGGTGAGCTTTCTCATCTGCTATAGGCTCCATTCAGAGGATTGGTTAAGGACGTAGTCGCTGCAGCCGCTTCGCCCGCTGCATGCGAGACCTCCCATGGCAGCCATGTTTCCTGTATCGATCTGTTTGTAGGAAGAAGACGATGACCTATTTGTAATTCTTAAAACACTCAGGGATACCGATGCATATTTGCTGAGAGGAGATTTGATCCGAAAAGGACCCATCCGTTAATAGCTATAACTGGGGGGGCTTTCTGCATTATGCATATCTCTCACGTTAAGCTCCACCCGACATGTAGGCCCCACTGTCAAATAAAGGAAAAACCTGAAAAAAATGATTTCTGTGATTTATTTTTACACAGTAAGATGCTGAATCTTTGAAAAATCACAGGGAATTCATTTTAACTCCGATTTGAATGAACCAAATTTCAGTATGATCCTCATGTTATTCTCTTTAAAATGGTTAGAGCAAATATTGCACAAATATCATGCAGATGTACAGAAAAATTCGAATTTACAATCAGTCAATAGTATGTTTTTCAATTTCAGGATTTTAAACTTTGAAAGCTTATATCTAAGGCATACGAACTCGGATCTAAATGATTCTTTCACCTAAATTCATCTAAAATCATCCCCCATCTACTGTACCAGAACCATGCATATTTGAGCATTTTTAATTTTTGGTGATTATTTGGTGTTCATTTGAACTTCGTTTAAATTTGAATAGACAACGAAGTTGCAGCCATAGAGGAGTGTGAGCAGGAACCTAAGACTTGTGAGGAGTTCACTGAGCAAGGCAAGTCCTATTCAATTCCTCCTTCGAACATGTTAAATCCTATATTTTTGCAAATGCTATATTGTTTATAAATTACACGCGACATTGCAAAATGTGGGATTTCGGTAGAGCAACTCCTATTTGCTGCACTTATCCTCCTTGATTATTGATTATGTTACTGTTGATACATCTAGGATGGGCTGTGGTACTGTCCAAGTACCAATTTGGGTATATTCGCACTACTAATATAGCTATTGCTTAGCCATGCTTAGAGTTTCGTATGTTACAAACGGTGGATCATTCACTCTTCAAAATTTTGGCTATTTGAAAATGTTGGACAGAGGTGTCGCCTCTGTTATTTGTGAAGTTGAAAACTGAAAAGTGATGATTTTAGACTTGGGCGGCAAGTGGTGTGCATATGGTGGTAGTTGCATACCGATAGGGGGAGTGTTTGCCCGAGTCGATTAAGGACCGAGCTATGTGTCACCAACTAAGATTTACAGTGCAACCACATGTGTTATTTATAGGGTAACCTTAGTTATGAAGTTGCTTAATGTCTAACCTTGCATTGGGAGGCCGTAGTAGTATGGACTAGTCGGAATGATGGTTTATAGGAGCTACCTAGTGCGGTTTGTGCCTAGGCGTCTAAGCGTATCCAATATAACGGTTAAGTGCCTCGTTGAGGGAACGGATGGTTCACTTCACGGCGCTAGTACCAGCGAAGGCCCCCTGGACTAGCGGCACTAGGGTTGCTCCTAGTGTGGGTATACACTGGCCGTGCTCATGCAAGGTTAGGCTTGAGTAATGTAGTAACTTCGTCATATGCTAGCAAATCGGGTACCATTTGGTATCGCGTGACATGGTTTACATGGTTGCTAGTTTATGTCATGTGGGTATAGTGCACAGCCTCTGCAGGGTGTTGAACTAATCGATTAGCCGTGCTCACGGTCACGAGCGACTTGGTGAAATGATACAAGTATAGTGTTGGTGGTTTAATAAATGTTTTGTGAAATTGGCATGGTGGGAAATTGGTGATGACTTTGCTCGGTGTGGGCTGAAAGTGAAATGGTTACTTGCTGCCATGGAGGGCACAAGGATGATATTAATATGATGCTTATGTTACTACTACTATTGTTTACTTATTGCTTTACAAATTTTGTTGCAATCTATTACTACTTACTACTGTGAATCAAAATTTGCTTTATGCTGAAATTTAGTCCACAAACATAGCCTCGTTTGATCTCAGCTTGCAATAGACATAGGCTTCCCAAGGTTTGGGTAGGACTTGCCAATACGTTTGTATTGACCCACCTCCTGTTGTTGTTTTTAGACATTGATGCAGGAAATGAGATGCCCAGTGATGAGTACTTTGCACCGGGTACCGGAGGTTTCGAGGATGGTTCTTTCTAGGGTGATTCCTAGTCAGTTGCTTGTGGTGGTTTGGTAGATGGGCATACAGAAGAACATATATATTTTGCTACTCTTATTCCGCTGCGTTTAAACTCTTCCATTTGGCCGGTCCGCCCTATCTATGTTGTATGACTTGAGCACTCGCTAAGTTATGTGAACCATGTTATCTATTTGTATGTGTATTATGTATGGATGTGATGACAAGGTTGTGGTTTCGTGTACTAGCCACTGATCATGGGACTAGTACGGTGTACGCTCCGGGTATTCGGGAATTCCATCCCCTAGCGCCGACAAAATTATTGAAGCTTTCTGCAAGGTTATTTGTCACATAATCAACCTTGCAAACTATAGAGAACTGACTCCTACTCCATAGCCTTTTGTGATACTTCCTAAGGTATGCTGATGCTTCTAGTTAAGCTTCTTGCATGGCTGCCATATGTTTCTCGTAGAAGTAAGGGCTCCATGCATATGCCACAGGCCAAAGGTTATCATAAAAAATCTTGCAAGTAAACTTTTTGAAGTTGGTGACCATGTGCTTCACGCACTCCCGGTGTCAAAACTCTCTCTCCTATGGGGACAGACTCATGTTGATAAACTCAGTCCTTTCTGCAATGCCAACCTACTATATGTGTTCTTTACAGCTCCCTATTGCAGTTATTGAAAATATTGACAGAGCTAGAAGACACTTTTTGTGGAGAGGAAAGGATCTTAATTCAACCAAGAAATGTTTGGCTGCTTGGGGAAAGGTCTGTAGGCCTAAGAAGAAAGGGGGTCTAGGGGTCATTGACTTAAGAATACAAAATAGAGCGCTGCTTCTTAAGCATCTTACAAAGTTTTTTAATAAACAGACAATTCCATGGGTGAGTTTGATTTGGAACACTTACTATTCTCACAAGCTTCCTCAGGACGCAGTTTTATGTGGATCATTTTGGTGGAAAGAGATTGCTCAGCTTGAAATTCTCTTTAGAGGATTTGCACGTCCTATCATTAATAACGGATGCTCTATAAGTTTTTGGCATGATATGTGTAATGGAAAGGTTTTTGCTCACTCCTTCCCAACACTCTTTTCGTTCACAAAACACAAATTGGACACAGTTGCTTAGCATCATTCAAGGTCAGTCGATGATCAGTTCTTTCTTCCTCTATCAGTTCAAGCATATGAGGAATATAAAGTTTTCCTGGAGGATGTTACCCAAATCTCTTTGAACTCCATGGTGGATAAATGGACATACATCTGGGGTAATGATCTTTATTCTTCTAATAAATTCTATAAGCTATCATTTTGGTCCATACAGCCAGCAGTAACCCTTCCATGGATCTGGTCCAGCAAAGTATACATGAAGGTTAAAGTCTTTGCCTGGTTGTTGTTCCTAGATAGAGTTAATACAAGAGATTTGTTGGAAAGAAGACATTGCAAACCGCCAAATGTTCCTGTTACTTGTGTTTTATGCTTCCTAGGTCTGCGAGAAACTAGAGAGCATTTATTTTTCCAGTGCCCTTTTGCAATTGCTTGTTGGAACACAATTGGTTTTTCTTGGGACACAACACAGGAATTTCATCAAATGCTGCAATCTCATAGGAGTGCCCGACCTCATCTTTCATGCTTTATGGAGATCTTTCTTGTGGCTTGTTGGCTGTTATGGAAGCAAAGGAATGATTTAATCTTTAAGCATATACAACCTTCTGTTCAGAGATGGAAATCTAATCTCAAGGAGGAGCTAAGTCTACATTTACTTAGACTTAGGATAGTTGATAGACCTATTTTGCAAACATGGATTGACGTCTTGTAATTTTCTTGCTTGTATAAATTTCTTTCATTTTTATATATGAAATTTAACCGTGGGGGCTTCCCCCACTGTTTCCCGGTCAAAAAAAAAAACTCTCTCTCCAAATACCATACAACTTTGTGATAGCAAGCTCCCTGCCAACATGCACTCTTTTGTAGTTGATCTTAACCTTATGTGTTTCATGGATCCTTCTTTGCAATTCCTTTGCTCCCACAGTAGCATCCTCCAACAACCAATCTTTTACCTTCTCACAAATCCAAAACTTGCTTGCAGCCTTGATAGTCTCACTTCTTCTCGTACTTGAGCATTCATGTGGAAAAGGATTGGTTTTCACCTGAAATGAAAAGATATTCAATACCGCAATAAAATACATATATGACAATAAACTTGAAGAATGCATGCTGTTTTAAATTAAATACATACCATTATAGTGACACCATCAGCAACCACGGATGCATGGATCCTCCACTTGCAACCTTGAGCAGCACACTTTGCCAATCTAAATTTAATTGCATGTTGTGCTATTGCCAATCTAAATTCGTCAATGTTAGAATATATGCTTCCTAAAATCATTGGTGTGTCATCCTTATCATAAATTGTGCTAGGAATATGTTCTGGCATCCCATCTGATGCCATTGACTCATCCTCAGATTCATTGACACCATCATCTTCAGATGCATCCTCAGGTTCATCCTCAGATGTAGCCCAAGATTCATCCTCGGATTCTTCATTGACAGCCCCTTCATGGCTTCACCTTTGTCTGATGGCACGAGGATATGAGAAGGCAGAGTGCTGCTGCTAGGTTGGCTGAAATCCACTTGAGATGGGGTTGCCAGAGAAGAAGTATCAGGAACACATATGTTTGCTTTAACAAGAGTGTGGTCTAACTCATCAATATTTTCATTCATACCATGTATACGAATAATCATTGGAATCACCTTGATATCAACAAACTTTTCAAACATTTCTAGCATATCCTGGTCAGTTGTGACATGATGAGAAATTTTATGAACCATATTCACATAGCCAATTGTGACGGTTTCATTTGGCCCCCATGGATATGAATTTGCAATATCAGCAACAAAGTCTTTGTAGCTCATAGCATTTGAGTCTATCATCTTATTGAAAATAAACCAATCATATTTCACCCTAGCATTTTTTCGATCCCTGGCTAGTTTGATTTCCAATAGATATGTAGTTAAGGTCCATCCTATGGATGAACACGGTATGACAGCAAGTTAGGTCACTTACCAAACGGGGAGCCATGATGGAACCGTGCTAAGCCTTGAATCTGCCATGCCAAGTAGATGTGGTGCAGAGAAGGGGATGGTGGCCTCAACCATTTTTCTTTGACTTACCGACACCAATGAACAACCCACTCCTATAAACAAGAAATCACTCATCAACTACTACTTTACATAAGCAAGAAGAAGAAATGAAAATTACTGCTACTCCTACCAGTAGGGCGGCGCTGGGTGGCGCAGCGACGAGAGGGTATTCGCCCCACCGCGCAACGGGAGGTCTATAGCCGGCGGCGCCCCACCGCGTAATGGGAGGGCGGCGGCGGGCGGTGCACGCGACGGGAGGGTGGCTGCGGTGGGATGGCGGCGTCGCCCCTGGCGTGATTGGAGATTGGCGGCGCGCGGTAGCCACTCACGTGGAGAGGATGGGGGAGAAGAGAAGGGGATTGGATCTGTTTAGCTGGGTTGGCACTGGCATGGGCATTTTGGTATTTTTTGAAAATACTAACAATGTAACTCACATATTTTGTTACAGATCAAACGGAAACCTAACGGGAGGGGTATGGAGGGAATCAAAACGAAAATTCGGGGGTATAGAGGAGATCGAGTAAAATTGGGGGAAGGGGGGTATAGAAGAGATTAGGTAAGTTTTCATGGGCACACAAGGGATTTTCTCAATGTTTTTCCCCTAAAAGCACGGTTGATGAATACATAATCATGATTATCTATTCCATTTATACACCACAGTCTGTGTACGCTTGAAAACTCACTCAATCCCTTTCATACCCTTGAAATTTACCCGATCCCTTCTAATACCCCTGAAATTTCAACTTGATCCCTTCCATGCCCCTACCATTACATTTTCCTTCATTTCACTATTACGTTTGGTTGCAAATGTCTTTTTGCCGTTGATGCTTTAGGTTTGAATATAAACTTGAAAAATGATTGAAAATTTTATTTGAGTACACAGTATGTGCATTTTATGAAACTAATGAGACTAAATAATTAGTGCAGAAAATTTTGACATAAATTTTGAAAATAAAACACATGCAACAAATTAATATATTTATTTGAAATTTTAATAGGACAATGAATTTTTTTTGATCGGCAGCATTCGTAAAAAAAATTATTGTGAGCATTGGTGCTCCTATCTTTGTATGAATGCTCCTTATTTTTGGAGTTTTTTTAAAAAATAAATACATATTTTTTTCATTATCTAAAAATAAATTTTGTGATACATAATGCATCATACAAAAAAACTCGTAACTATAATAGTCTACTGTGACAAACTTTTACATTTTTAATAATGTAATTTATAAGTTTCTATGTTCATCCAAAGGGTAAAATAGTCATTTTCATAGAAATTAGACGGTCAACTAACGGGAAGGTAATGGAAGGGATCAAAATCAAAATCATCTTATCTTCCACTATATTAATAGCTATATGTGAGTGTGTGCACGCGCACGTGTGTGTGAATATGTTGGATGATGGTTTGGTCAAATATTATGCAAAGTTTTAGTTCGTGTTATGAACCTAATAATCTGGCTAAATAATCATTCATCAACTCCATAATAAAGGAAATCATCTGCCATCACCAAAACAATGCAACAATTAAAAATGCATTATGAAATCTCCAAATGACAGCGGAGATAAACAAAGGACAAAGAAAGAACACTACTTATTTGCAAGTAGTAGGAAATGCTCTTGGACAGTTGTCCGGACACCTCGGACGCTTCGCTGCCCACCAATAGCTGAAAGACATATATCTTGCTCATCCTCGCTTACTCTGGATTATCTCTCCAACAAATTAAGAACAGGACAAGCAAAGTTGAGGGTTGGCGTCCAATTTTTTGCCATGGATCAGGCACCTGAACCAAAGTATTTTCCAAACAACACTTCATAATTTGTGACACGAACCAAGAAAAAGGGACAAACTCACCCTATTGAGTAATAACCGTACTTGATTATCATAGGAAAGATATTCGCAAAAGGTAAAAGTGTGTTGTATAGCTAGTTAAAGGTTTGCGATGGGGTAGTACGTGTTATGAACGACGTATAGAAATATGAAGTAAACGAAAAACAATCACAGCGGAGACACACGATTTAACGTGGAAAACCCCTTCAATGCGAAAGGGGAAAAAACCACGGGCACCAACCAGCAACAATCTCACTATCTCAAGAGTTTTGGGTTAC